TTTATACGCCACACAAGGTTCACTGTCTACTCTTCAGTTCCATGCTAACCTGTAAAATCTTGGATGATATCCATCCCAGCACATTTAATTGCTCTCACTAAGGCACCCCCTTGTGGGTTCCGGGGCCCGATTTCTGAGTAGACAAGAATAAATCCTTTGATATTTAGAAGTGTTTGGTGAGCGGCGACTTTAAGGACTTGTTGAAATGTGATGAGTTGGATATCGGTGCAGAGCCCTAAACCCCTGATCAGCTAGTTAACTGTCCTTATAAGGTTGAGCGAAGAAGATGAACTTACATCTGTGCATTATCAGGATAAGTCTTGTCTGTAATCTTGCCTTGTAAACTAAGTGTTATCAGATTGTGAAGTAAACGAAGCAGAAACCGGATACTGAAAAAAAAAAAAAAAACAAGAGATGATGTAAATTCTAGGAAATATATCATCTGCGCAGCAGAGTCACAACGTTGCGGCTGCAATTTTTATTGTATCAAACCAGAAAGTTGAACCAGAAAGCAGACATTTCTCCCCCTGACGTTTCTCCAACGTCGAGTTCCCTCTGCAAGGTCTAGGTCGAATCGGGTCAGAGGGTAAACTCCTGGTGCGCATGTGCAACAACGGTCCGCGGGTTGTGATTGGCCAGGTTAACCCGGCTATTTATAGCCACAGGGAGATCCCTATAAACTGGCGGCGGCTGTCACGAGACGGTGCAATCTCTGGACGAGGTAAACACAAACTACTCGCCCTCTCCACTGGTGGATTTATACCGTTGTTGAAGGGAAACGTTAATATTTCTGACATTATATGGGAAAACTATACTTCTTAACTGCCATCCCCGGTGATGAAGATAAGTCTCTGAGAGAGACAACATTTCTGGTAGGTTACAGTTTATGTCCGTGTTTTTTCTTCTACAGCTCCGTTTGTGTGTTACAGTTACTGAACTGTTAACTATAACGGAAAGTATAGCCCACTGAAAAAAAAAAAAAAGAGCCAGGAGTCTGCAGGTAGGAAGTCAGTGCTGTCTTAACGCATGGGCCTATTGGGCACTCACTCAGGGCTCCCACGAGCATGTCATAAGGGCTTCATGTAAGTCATTCCCGTGAGAGGTTATTATAGGGCCCCAGCACACTGGCTTTCATAGGGCCACATAATTCCATTAAGACGACTGTGCATGAAGGTGGGTGTAGAATATGAGAGATACTTTCGGCATGTAAATAACTAAGTCAGGGGTATTCGCTAGGACCCAAGAGCATCTCTGGCAGTCCGTGACGTGAGTCCCATTCAATGTGCTGAATAAACATTTGTTAGAAACACTTATACAAACTTCATCTCTGGCTTCTTCGTTAGACCTCCAGAAAGATATTGATTCGTGCGTTTTGAAAGGGATGCTGCTATATTTGTAGATATGACTTACCGATACAAAAAGACTTAAGTACAGTAATCTTTATCCCTGGCACCTTCACTCCCTTGTATCTCAGTTATCTCCAATCCTACCTTTCTCCAACAACTAACGGCTCTTCCAGACAACACTATTGTAGCTCGTTTCCTAGACTGCCTCTTGGACCAGTCCTCTCCTGTATCCTTTACAAATCATATCCTTAAACTCTCTTATATCAGAACTCTCTGGGATACCAGCGTCACACATCCCTGTTCTCTCTGACACTCTCTCTTACTCTCTGTTTTTTCTCTCTTACTGCTATGCTACAATCATTTTACTTATAGGCAAATGCAATATTTCTGATTTCTTGGATCTCTCTTTTCTACTTGGAATCTTCCTCTACCTATAATGGAAACTAGTTTAAAATTATAAAGGTGAAAATTGGCAGATTTAGCTGTCCTTATGGGAGACATCCACTGGCTGCCCTAGGTTTTTGTCACATACGTCTTCATCCCACTAGAAGGTGTATCATTAGGAGTAAATATTGTTTTGGTTCTATCCAAATATCTCCCCCCAAACAGACAGTCGAATATTTAGGGGAAGGTAGATAGGCTGCGTGCAGTCATGGGATCTAGGCTGCATTCTCTCATGGGACGTTGGTGGGTTGGGGTTAGGCCCAGTTGTAAATATTCTGGGGTAGTTAAAAGCATAAAAAAGCCAGGAAACCCACTCTTATCACCCTCAAAGATAGTGGACTGTCCTGTGACATCATCCTGGGGGGAGATATTGTGAAAGCACCTTATTTTTTTTTAGATAATTGTAAAATAATTATCAGTCCTGGATTATCAGCAATCTGTCATTTGTTTTTTCTTTTTTTGCAGAATTATCACACAAGGTGGCTGGACAAAACAGCAAGCCAAGCTTCACACTGCATGCCAGATAGGCTTCCCACTTAGCAGGCAAGCTGTTCATTTAGTAACAGCCTCATAAAGAAGCACAGTTTAAAAATAGGCCATTTGCCTTTACAGAGATTCTGGGCTTTGCTTGTTATACTTCAGTTTTCTATTTTGTTTCTGTCCCAGCTTGAAGTCACCACCACCAGAGAATACATGAGCATTTTATCTGGGTGTAGGGTCTGTTCAAGGGCTAAAACTAAAACAGCTCAAAGAGATTCCATAGAGTTTGTAGAGAAGCATCTGTGACTGTAGAAGCATCTGAGACAGTAGAAGCAACTGTGACTGTAGAAGAATTCACTTTTCGAACAGTGTCAGGTTTTCTGCAACTACAACTAGTATTCTGAGACTCGCAAAGACAATCCCTACTCCGGATCCAGTTTTTGTGACGTCACCCATCACCACGAGCTACTTTACCATGCCCGAGGACAATGAAACTTACGACATGGCGGACTCGTACTGCGAGCCCGAAGCCTCAGACATGGCCGTTTTACTTCAGGCAAATGAAGACAAAATATTAAATGCCTCTATGAAAGCACTTAAAAGTGGATCGTTGACACCCCTGGTCAAGGAGGAGCTTAGATTCACAATTCAGAGTCGTCGGCTAGCAGCAGGGAAGGGTGAGCTTAAGTTGGAGGAGTTTAAAAAGCCGCCAAAGAGAAAACTGGTAAGTAAGTTTATCTAAGTTGGATAGATTGATGAATATATTGATGGATAAATGGTTGAGTTCATTGGTGTGATAGGGTGAGTGAATAAATCTGAATTTAGTAGGTACCAAAACCTGGGAGCTCAGTCATTGTTGGGGAGGAGGGTGTGGGGGGGGGGGGGGGGGGCGCAATAATTAGCCTAGACTTTCTGTTAAAGGTGGCTTATTTTTAACATCACACCAGCAACTTTGTATGACATCAAATTGAAAAAACAGCCACACCAGCCTGCGTTATTAACACTGTTGTGTCTGGGACTATTCTAACTTATAAATACAGTAAGCCAGTGCTTTCTGTTAAAGTGTATGTAGTGTCAAGGAAGACAAATTTGTTTCCTGATAGAAATAACAAGATGGGATTGAGGCCAGAAAGTGTCTGAGGTGATGGGGGAAAATGGGAGCTCAGGTCCCATGAGGCGTATCTTCTCTCCCTCCCCTCCTTGTTAACTTTATCATGTTGCACCTTCTATGCTTCTAGATTTTTTAAGTAAGAGGGAGAGAACTTGGCCTTTTTTTAGAGGTTATATAATGACCCTAGCTATCATTGATAACAGTGAATGTTATTATCCTGTTATCAGCAAGAACACAATAGAGCCACCAGTCTGATCCTGATAAACTGAGTATTTTCAACAAGGGACACACTCAAGTGTTATAATACAAGCTGGTTTACTTAATTTAGTTCATCCCAAGATTTCATAATCCTAGATCACCCAGAAATTCCTAATCTGTCGCGTGCATGTTTTAGTTTTTACTTTTTGTGAAGTCTGTTGTCATCTCAAATGTGGTTATCTGGAGGGAACTGACACACAGGGTGCAGTTTCTGGAAAACCAGGCAGAGGTAGACCTCTGTGAAAATGGACATATGTCTTTGACAATGCACTGGCTGTGAGAGCACATCGGGCTGGAGAATTGGCTAGAGAAAGAAAGACTTTCAGGATGCCATGAAGAGCGACATTCTGTAAATAATATATTGAGTAATTTTGACTGATTGATTACAATCTGTTGTATTGAATAATATGTTATTTCTCTCAACACTTGACAACTGTTGACATTGTCCAAGCCTACCCATCAATTAAGTAACAAGTAGTGCTTTATAATACAGCTAACAGTAAACTATACATCTTGCTTGGTGACCAGGTTCTTCTTCTTCATTGTTTTCGACTGTGAGCTCCGACGGAAAGTCCTGGTTGTTCGTCCACTTAGACTTTAGCTTTGTGCCAAGGCCTGAGTTTTGCATGCACATCTGTTTTACTGCCTTAGTTGTGTGCAATTGCTTGTTCCTTGCCCCTTTGGGTAGATGCACTCCGACTTCGAAGGACCCCCCCCCCCCTCCTCCTCCTCCTCCTCAGTGAGTCGACTCTTACGAAATGCTTGTTGTGGAGACAGCGTGTCTATCCTTCTATTCCTGGTAAGGGCTCCAGCATGACCTGGTTAAGATTTAAAAAACAACAAATTTGGTTGTTGTTGTGGTGTCCGTGGCATTGCGAGTCCGACTCATAATTCCAACATACCGCTATAAAAACCCACTGCTAGCTGCGTGAATTTTTATCGTGGTATGGGGCGTCGCAGGTCGACCCAGCCTAAAATAAGTAACAGGATGAGCTGTCCTGGGGAAGTAAAGATGGCCGGCGTAATGCTGACCACATTACCCACCAAGTGCTGATGGTCTGTAAAAATATGGGCGCTCTTCCCATGTGCCCAATACGCCTAAAGGCGTGAAAAGGGGATCTTTACTTTACTTTCTGTTGTTGTTGCTGTGGAAAGTTTGTAAACAAAACAATGAAACAGCTCACTTCTTAAGTTATTATGTAATGTGAAAATGTGATTTTAATAAAGATAAGAATGAACTTTTTGTGATCCAGGTGACTGATGAAGAAAGAAAGAGAGCTCAAGTGCGGAGGCTACAGAACCGGGAAGCTGCACAGAGGTTTCGACAAAGACAGAAAGACCAGGCCAGCTATCTCTCAGAGGTATGCCTAGATACCACTTTACCATATTGCTTAATTCAGAATGTTAGGCCTATGGACCATGTTCATTTGCCTATTGCAGAATAAATAAAGGTCCCAAAGTACTGCTTGTGTGGACACACCCCACGCAGACACATACACTGCTTTTGACCCGGGATATTTGGACCAATGTTTGTAGCTTTTAGTTGCTTGATCTGTATTTGCTGAATCAACATGATTGATTGACTGAAATGTACACTTATCAGTTTCATGTATTTTGAAATTATTTTTTTAAACTGGACAACTTAGATCAGTTATTTGGTGACTGTGTGTATGTGCGTGTGCATGTCTGTCTATGTGCCTCCATCATAACATTCATCATTTTAAAAGTTGGACATACTGGTCAGAGATTGGTCACCTACAGCTTGGACGGTCTGGTCAGAGTTTGGTCACCTACAGCTTGGACGGTCTGGTCAGATATTGGACAACTCCAAGTTGGACGTCCTAGTCAGAAATTAGTCACCTACAGCTTGGACGGTCTGGTCAGATATTGGACAACTCCAAGTTGGACGTCCTAGTCAGAGATTGGTCTCCTCCAAGTAAGATGTCCTGGTCAGACAATAGTTTGGCTCTAGAAAAAATAAACTTGTTCTCCACTTGGATAAAATCTTGATTCAGCATGTCATCATCATTATGTGCCATGCCAGTAAACATAGGCTGTTATAAAAGCAATGTTTTTACGTTGTGAATTTGAACAAAGAAGACGCAAACAATAGATTACAGAATTTATTGCCCGGCATATTTTGCTGTATCCCATCAGGTGCATACTACAGTTGATTAAAATGAAGCAAATAAATTAAAGCTTCGAGCTGAAACACAAAAACAACTACATTCACACACTGTTTCACCAGGGTAACTGCAAGGTGACGAGCACATTATCATTTATTTGCTTCATTTTAATCGACTGTCCTGTAGTATTATGCACCTGCTTAAATACAGCAAAATATGCTGGGCAATAAATTGTTTGTGTCTTTTTGGTTCAAATACGCTGCTGTGTTTCACCATCTCACATCAAGAATCAGTTTAACGGTTTTGTCACGCCCTATCCACCTGGCAGGCTATCCAGGTATTTACCCCCTTGTCTTCCAGTTGCTCTCTTTACAATAATCTTGCCAATTGTTTCCTCTACATGTCTGAGGTATTTCGTTGTCAGCAGATTCCATCGTAGCCCCAAGGAAAACATGAGGCAACTACAAGAGATAGAGTCAAACATATAACAGGTTGTCATCAGTGGTTGACATTTTATGCTTCAGTGGGAGCTAGCATTTAGAAGAATGGTCCATAAAAAGTCCCTTTAGATTACTGGATCAATAATTTAAATCTATGAAACCAGGGTATGGCCATCAATAGATTGTATAGCTCCATGGTGATCTTAAACACACCTGAATGAGATTAAGTAGGTCAAAGTTCATTGGCTGTCCGGGTACACTGTTTTAGGCAGTTTTTCAGGTTGTGTGTCTCTGTGTGGGTTTGTCAGTGTGGGTTTGTCAGAGTGGGGTTGTCTGTGTGGGTTTGTCTGTGTGGGTTTGTCAGTGTGGGGTTGTCTGTGTGGGTTTGTCAGTGTGGGTTTGTCTGTGTGGGTTTGTCTGTGTGGGTTTGTCAGTGTGGGTTTGTCAGAGTGGGGTTGTCTGTGTGGGTTTGTCAGTGTGGGTTTGTCAGAGCGGGGTTGTCTGTGTGGGTTTGTCTGTGTGGGTTTGTCTATGTGGGTTTGTCAGTGTGGGTTTGTCAGAGTGGGTTTGTCTGTGTGGGTTTGTCAGTGTGGGTTTGTCAGAGTGGGTTTGTCTGTGTGGGTTTGTCAGTGTGGGTTTGTCAGAGTGGGTTTGTCTGTGTGGGTTTGTCAGTGTGGGTTTGTCAGAGTGGGTTTGTCTATGTGGGTTTGTCTGTGTGGGTTTGTCAGTGTGCTTTCCAGTATCTGGGCCAGGGTACTTTCCAGGGGATTCTGAAATAAGTAGTGTGGAAGAATTCTGCTGAGAACCTGGTTTACTGAATTTTCAGTTGTTTTATCAGTCTCTAGACAGACTGGTTAACCGGACAGACAAACAGGCAACACGCACAATTCCATGCACAACAGCAAAGTTTCTGTAACAAGCCAGCAGAGTTTCTCTTTGTGCCAGATCTCAGAGGACAAGAGCCAGGCTGATTATTTGCAAAGAAACATGATTTAATTACGTAGATCATAGGTGCCCCAACCTGGCCGCTCCAGAATATTACCCCCCCCCTCCCCCCAACCTTTTTTCCCCGCTATAATGTTATGAAACAGACCCCCCAACCCTAAACAAATAAAAGTTCTCTTTTTAAGTATTTGTACCTTTCCTATTATTTAAAAAGTTAATTTTTTTATTTGATATTCAGCACAAAACAACAATAATAATAATAATTATTATTATTTTTGCACAGTTAAACAAGGCTCAAGCCCCTTAACCAACCCCACCCCCCATAAGTTTCTAGTAAGTGAGCTCACATGGTTGAGCCTTGTTCAGCTGCACAATAATAATGACAATAGTTGCAATAGTTAATATTTTTGCACAATAAGACAAGGTTTGAGTCACTCCTCTGATCCTAAAAAAATAGGTAAATGGGGTACCCCCCTCCCTCTGTCCACTCCAGTTTTTAAAAGTGGCAACGCACCAGATGTAGATGTGTAAATATAATCAGAGCAGTCGATGAGATTCACATTACAAATTTATTTATTTTCTTTCTCAGAAAATAAAAAGACTGGAGAAGGCATCTGGCAACCTGCTGAATGACATGACAAGATTAAGAGAAGAGAAAGATGAACTGACCAGGATGTTGCATGACCATCTGGCCGTCTGCACAAGCAACATCCCCATGCCAGATTCCATCTGCCTCAATTTGGAACAATCACTGCCACAGCAAATCCATCCCTCTACCAGCTCCGGCATCTTCACCATCAGCCCGCCTCACTGCCCTAACACTAGCGACTCCACATCATCTGTCTTCTTTTCTGATGAGGCCAGCAACCACCAGAGTGACCACCTCACATACACAAACCTGCTCCAAGATCTAGGCATCAGTTCTATCGAGATGATTCAGCACGATGGAAGCATGCTACAGGACTTCATGGATGCTCCAGAGATGAGTCAGGAGATGATCGTCGGGGATGCAGATCTGGCAGACTCTTTATCAGAACACAGCGATGAGAACAGAATTGACTCTTCTTGCTCCAGCTTCGAAACTGCCTCCAACTTTGGCTCTATTTCTTCTGAAGGCTACTCATTCATAGACTCAACCAGCGAGTTGAGCGCCAGCCTCGCAGCAACAGTCTCTATGCTCCCTACCGGCCACATCATCCATGAGTTTGACAACCCCTTCAGTACTGACGACATCCTGTTGTTGGATAACATGACATCATGACAGCAACACAGTTGCCACTGTTTCAGTAGTGTCAGTAATCTCAAGGTATTTAATCCACCATAAAATTTACATCCTTTTTAACTGCTACACCAGAGCTTTTCAGACTTTTTGGTGACACTTTAAACCCCCAAAAAATTGAAATATAATTTTGTGACACAGTAATTCACTCCACTTGCAAACCAGAGGTTAAACTAACCCCTTACAAGAGATACAGACATACATATAAATTAAATTAACAAAATTTTTCACAACACACCCTATCTAATGAAATCCTTTCTTTTACTTTATAAGCCTACCTATAATTACTGTCGACCCCATGCGGGATGCAATTTTTCGTTATTTTAAAGCCATACCTTGAATTTTGTCAGGAGTATGGCCTAACAGCTGAACGAGGTTTCCTGGACCTCTCCAGGGGTGATCCTTTTCCGCATGGTGGCACCTTGTGTCACCGCATGTTCATTGCTTGTATAAGTGGTGTATAAGTTGCCTACCTACCTACTTACTTTAAACGCGTATTTTCTAATTTATAACTGTGACATTGCATGTCAGTTTTTCTGTTTAATGCTTTAGGTTTGCACAACACATCTTCACACTGCAACCAACAAATAAATGTGTTACCACACCAAGTTTGGAAAGCTCTGTGTTACAGTTACAGCACCCTGAAGGAGTTATGGTTCTTGAATTTGCAATAGTGCGAAGTTGTGATCATTTTATTGATACTACTAATGAGTTATGTCCCTTTATTGTGTACAGTTAGTAAGTTATAGTTCTTTACTTCATATTAAAATCCCCTTTTATTCGCCCGTGTGTGAATGCAGTTTATTCAACAGAACACGCTAATCGCCGAAGACATTATTGCATAGCTATGAAAGGTATCTAGCCATGATTACAAAGGGCCCTAGCAGTAGCCTTGCTGATTCATCCTTACCTGTACAAAGCTGCAGGCTATACCGGGCTCATGTAGCCAGGTTCCGGGTACCCTAATTATAACTTCTTTAGAGGTTGAATTGAAGGGGGTTTCTGGGATCTGCCAGCCGGTTGATCTGCCAGCCGGTTGATCTGCCAGCCGGTTGATCTGCCATCCAGATTTAGATTTGCTTTTTAAATCTCTGGGTTGTAAACCTTCGGGTGGAATCACAGAGGAAACAAACCAAGTGATGAACTAAAAAAGTAGACTTGCTGATCGGCTGCTAGGTTTGGATGCAGGGGGACACAGATCTTTATAAATCTTCTCAGTTACAGTTTTTGGGGTGGGTGAAACTAATATAAATTTAGCTGCAAAACACAACTTGAGCTGGGAACGACTGAGCACACATTATCTTGTCCCAAGTGCAGTGTTATACATTTTTCATTGTGGCTATAAAACATTTCAGTAGCCTGAAGGAGCCCGGTGATTGATATGCCTCAGATAGAATCTAGATATTGAAGACAGAGCCTAATAACTTAAAACACTATCATCATGTGCTAGACTAAGTGCAGGTGGTCATAGTTTTCCTTCTCCCGTGGTCACCAGTCTCCGATTATACCCATGTCTTGCTTTTGTCATGGGGTCAAGTCTTCATCTTTCCCTGATTACACCCATGTTTTGC